GTGTGTGACTTTGGTGGCAGAGAAACAGCAGGGGTGGGAGTTGAAGGGAGGCACCAGATGCTCCTACACGCCGACACGCAACGTCAAGAGTCAAGATGCGGTCACAAGCCTGGAACAGTACACGGTGATCGCACCTGTTCCCATGAAAGCTATCAGGCGAAACCACATGGGGCATGCAATGATGAAGAGTAAGTCTGTGCCACACGTTAACACTGGCGTTCACTGTTCCCCCGCTTTTCCACTCTATCCACCAAGAAGACGCCCATATTGCCTTACCTCTCCCCGCCGGTAACTAGAAGGTAGGTAGCCTGGCTAGTAGTCAACACTGCTTCGGAATCACTGCTGTACTTACCATACCTGCAAGAACCGCCACGTGCCGCCACAGCACAACAACAGAGCGCCCCTCTTTCGCCTCGAAGACATCACATACATTGTACTTCAAGTGTTAAGCACGAATCCCTCGGCTATTGTACCATCTTTACAACACAACAGCTTGCAGGCATACCTGCAACAGGCAGAAGAAAAAAAAAAGTACCCCCCTCCCCCCCTCGGCGTTTGCCATCGGGATTGGGTTTTCGTCGCTTGGCAACGACCTTGTAAAACAAGCCAAGTACTTCGTGAACTCGGCAACCAGGTTACCGTTTTTGTTTTTACCTCTGTTTTATTTTTGGCGGTAACCATAATGGTGGTCGAGTAGATAATGTTGTGCGGGGTGGAGAAGCCTAACTCCGCACAAGGGGGATGATCGCACCACGTTGTGTTAAAATGGTCAAGCACCCTCGAGGCAGTTACACAGTGGTTGCAACTGTCTCTGGAAGTGAAAGCACCAGAAAATAAATTAAGTCATACGCAGCTGTCATCCGTACGCAAGGAAGTAAGCACACGATGCCGAACACTCTTAGCAGGATGCAGCGCNTGCACGACTATGAGTACCCCCCCCCCCCCGCCCCGCGTCAAAACCTACTACCATCACCAAGCATGTAGATGCGCGCAAGTAGCTGCGTTCGAGTCTCACATCTCGTGGCAGGCCAGGGATCCAACGAAGGTGAAGAATGCCGCAGGAAACACCCCCTTAGACATGTTCGCCGGTTGGAGGGGCTCGCCGCGGGACTTGGTCTGACATGACGCAACATGCACGATGAGGTTGCAACATCGCCCGTCATGTACATGGATACGGACAGCCAGTGGCCGGCGCATCGACCAGCGGTAGTCAGAGGGACCGGCGCTGCTCAATGATGCACAGAATGCCTCGGTGATTCAATCTGTGCCCAGCAGTTGATTTCGTCAGCGCTTTACAGGGCCACCGGCGCTAATCAACCCCACCGGCGCTAATCAACCCCACCGGCGCTAATCAACCGGCGATATTGAGCGCCCCCCAACTGCGGTAGATGGGACATTGCCGGCATGGAGAGAGATACGGTCATGTACAGGGTGCGTGTGGTACGACTTACATCTCATCCTACTTCGGCACAATATATTTGCTAATAAATTACAAATGTTAGTAACTAAAGATAGCATGAAGTGTGGATGCTCTCTTTGGTGCATGGTGGAGGGCCCCGCAGATGTGGATTGTTTGTCGAGAGGGTACTTGGTACCACTACCCGAGAAAGCTCACGTCGTTCCGCCGTCGCGGCAGAAACCCCGCCCTGTGTTCTGCTGATGAAGTTCGTCTCAAACTTGGTTCAAGGACGGGAGAAAGATGATGCGGACGAGCTTGTGTTTTTGGATGGAATTGAACTGGTTTGGTGCTGCGACGGCAGGTTGACTTTCTGCCCTACTCATCATCGTCAGTAGCCCGAGGTACATTTTTGTCCGTTTTAGCGTTGTAGCGAGTTGTACGTCATGTGCAAGTGCACTGGTTTGCTGCAGGGGTTGTACGGGGTAGAGCACGGCAGGTACGCGGAAATTACAGGGACTTACATCCTGCCCACCGTAGTTACCGTTTACTGCTGTGACTACCCCGCCCTGCATGACAAGGGATAGCTCGTACGAGGCGAGGCTTAGCCGAACGTCAAGCAAGCTGCAGGGTACTGTGCTGTACCAACGCCGTGGTGGCATCCAATCCAAGACACTTTTTCAACCAGAGCACACTCGCCGTGAACATGACTTTTGGAACGAGTAAGTTACGGCTGAGATACAGTAGTGGCTGCCCTAGGTTCTCACAGAACGAAGCATGGGGTAAACGTGCAGCTACAGCAGTACAGCAGTAGTGTTAACACGAGTTGTGCAAGTAAAATCGTTCGCGTTTGTCGAGGTTCCCATGTTGCAGCAAGCAGCAAGAAGTTTCCGCAGTGCTGTACATATCGACTTTCATGTTTGCGCCATTCGAATCGGCAACCAGCATCGCCATGTGTGGGCATAGCATGCCAAGACGTCAATAGCCAGGGTTTTCGCAGGCATTACGCCTCCTTGGCCCTTTGACGAAGCACATGCCAAGCAACGCCACGAAAGGAAGCAACACGGTTGCTCTCAAAATATTGTGTCCTATTTAGAGCACGCCCTACGGCTGTATGCTCGAAAAAAAACTCACCACGAAAGCGCGGTAGATGATGAAGAGGGTCACCCCACCAGCAGCGTACATCGGGAAGTCCGAGTTGAGGAAGTCCGTGTCATTCCCAGCCCCCATGATAAACGGCACGTCTAGCCCCAAGCGACAGAATAGACCACAGCCGACGGCAGGTGATGTGGACATGGACATGTACATGTATGGGATGGGGCCCCGTTGTCAACAGTGCTGTACTACAGCACTCAATATTTCGAGCGATCCACGCAACCCCCCTGGGCAGCGCGAAGCACAGGACACAAAAAACAGCGCATTGCACATCCCACCCAGTGCGGCAGCGGGGCAGCGGGGCAGCGGGGTGCGTCCGACCGCATCTCTCGCATTGGAAAAGCTTTGTGGTTGGGGTGACATCGCCAGGAGAGTTGAAGAGCGCTCGAGAGATGGACGAATACAGCGAGTTCGCCAGCGACGACTTCGACGTGAAGGGATGGATCAATGCTACGGTAGCTAGCCATCTGCAGCTGCAGCAGCAGGCCGCCGGGGGAGCAGGGGCCGGTAGCAACGGCTCACTCTCGGCGGAGCACGTTCGTCTGTCTTCGCCGAGTGCTCACAGGTGAGAAAGGCCCGCCTGATTTGCTTGTCTTGCTTGGGTTGCAACATTGCAACATTGTTCTATGTCAGTCCGGTGCTGCTGCCGCTGCTATGCTGTTGTGGCTACTCTGTCGAAGCAGGGTCGCGATTGCCTAGCAGGGCACTGATATAGGCAAGCAGAATGGTTGTGTGTTCTCCGCGTAATAGCCTATGTTGTGGCTGTAGAGCGCGCCGACTACTCCAGACAATTGCAAGCCGCTTGCACCTATATTCCTCCTGCAGCAGCTGTAGAAACTGCTGTAGCTCGGGTTTTTGAACTTTCCTCCGCTTTACATTTAGTAGTCAATGCATGGGGTTTTCCCAATGTTGGAACAACATGAGCCGAGAGGGCATTGGACGTTGGGGATGCCTGCTGTTTGAGGGGGAGGGATGCTGTACCCTTGAGAGGACGTCCTTCCCTCTCACCGCCAAGCTTCATCCGTGTCGCGTGCACAAGCTGGGGCGTTTGTTTCGCGTGGGCGAGCAGGAGCAAGAACAGAGACACGGGAACGCAGAACGCCATTGCGATGCGTGGATAGAGGGGGAGGGGGGATTCGGCAGTCAAGTGATACAGCCAAAGCCTTCACCCAAACCTGGGGATTGGGGTTAATGTATATTTGATATTTCGTGAGAATTGTTGAAGCACTGCAGCTGCTATGTAGAAGCGATGCGCCTGCCGGCGAGAGTGTGCGCCACAGAGATAGAGACAGACAGACATGCAGACAGAAAAAAGAACTCCTCATGAACGACGTATGATACAATGACCTTCCCTCGGCGGTGTGCTTTCTTTGACCTGGTACCGCTCTCCCTTCCCCACGTCCCGGCCTCTCGACGTCACCCCTACTACTATATTACTGCAATAGCAGCAGCCTAGACACGCACCTGTCCACCGTAGCGACCAAGCTGCAGGCGGTGTCCGCGACCATCAACGCGGGGCTCGAGAAGAGCATGGTGGAGATCATGGTGTCCGTCCCGCGTGTGGTAACCGAGGTGGATCGAATGGAGGCTGCCATCAAGACCCTCAACGGCGAGCTGATCAACCTGTCGGGCCAGGTGCGCGAGAGACCCTCGTAGGCGACGTGACACAAGATACCACAGCCCTGGACCGATTGTCAGAGGTCGATTTTTCCGCAGAGGGGCCTCGCCGATAAAGGCGGCGTTGAAGTCGTGTCATCGAGAGCTTCTCGAAAACGCTATCGTTTCATGCATGTACATCCTCTCCGTCGTGGGGTAATCGGGCTTTGAAAGTTGGTCGAGGGTGTGTGGTATCTTGTGTCATCGACAGTAGCCCGACTGTGATATTACACACACCTAAGGCATTGGTGGGACAGTAGTCTTGACCTTTTACCCCGCAATGTCAGCGACGTCGTGTCCTTTCTGGATGTGATATGCATCATACACCATACGGCCCTTGGAGTTATTAATTATTCCCCGTGGGTTGTGAAAGGTTGGGTGACGTTGGTTGCAGTTGTTCCAATTCGTGTAAATAGCTTGCTGTTGGTCCAAGACTTTCTCTGGGTGTTCGTTTTTTTGTGCTTGAATACCGTTTCTGATTGGTAACTGCGACACAATACAGCGATCGTTGATGCTGATGCTGCTGCTGCTGCTTCGATGATGATAATGATGTTGCCACCGCCGCTGCTGCCGTTGCTGTTGTTGTTGATGATGTTGATGTTGATGATGATGATGATATGTTTTTCATCAGCTGGAATCGATCGACCACGGCGCGAACGCCCACGTGGAGACCCTGGCGAGGCTAGACCTCGTGAAAACCAACATGGGCGACTGCTTGCACACCCTCACCGAAGCCGCTTCTTGGAACGCTTTGGTGCGAGAGGTCAACGCCAGGTACTGCTCCACTACTCTACTACTCTAGTACTCTATTAATAGTACCGCGGTACGGCCGTATAAGTGTCATTAACCGCCTGTCAAACGTCAGACCCTGCTTTGATATGCACCCGTCTGTTTTCGGTTGATGCAGTGAAGAGTTGCTGTAGGCTGCAGAGCAACACTCGCCCTTTTTCCGTCGCCGACAGTAAGCGTATTGACATTGATTGGTTCGTGTCTTGTTTGTATAGTTTATCATAGATACGCAAGCAGAGTGCTTTTGGGGGTGGATCCGGTCTATGCACCTTCCCCGGACCACCTTGTGGCACGAGTTTTGGTGCTGGAGGTGAAAATGGAACACGGACCCTCTCCCCGCTTCTCCCCCTACACACAAAACGACGGACTTGACAAGATTGTTCTCGCACCTCGCGGTAGGTGCACACGATACAGGGCTTTGTTCAGCTCAAACCACACTTTTATGGGAGCATGGGTATGGATATGGTGCCTTGTTGCCCTTCTGTGGGGGGCTAAACCAGCTGGTCTTCATGTTGGCAGCTTCCGGTGTGCCGCCGTTTGTGCCTTCCTGAGCACATGCTAGTTTCCCATCGATGTGCTGAGGAGACGACCTTTTTTGAGGGATTTTTACTACAACCTCCATCCAAATACCGTCTTCCAGTGTCAGGAGTTGTAGTCATTGCTGATGTGGTTGTTAGCAACAACTCCTGACACTGGAAGACGGTATTTGGATGGAGGTTGTAATAGAAAGCCCTCAAAAAGGTCGTCTCCTCAGCACATCGATGGGAAACTAGCATGTGCTCAGGAAGGCACAAACGGCGGCACACCGGAAGCTGCCAACATGAAGACCAGCTGCTAACGACAACCACATCAGCAATGACTACGAGCATCGTAACCAAGCAGAATATATACGAGAAGTGTAGAACACCAACACGCGTTTAACAAGAACAACGTCGGCAGTTTCGGACAAGACGACTTGAAGGGCGTGGCCCAGCGGCTAGAGGCCATGGCCGGTAGCATGGACGTCTTGAAGGACATGCCGGAAGCAGAGGACCGCGCCGCTACTCTCAGAGACCTGCAGGAGCGACTGGAGACGCTGCTGAAGCCCAAGTTGCTCGAGGTGAACAAGCCGGAAACATGATTAGGCTTGCGGTGTTGATGTGCCATACAGTAGCGGTGTCAGTTATTAGCAAAGAGAGGGAGAGCGAGAGTTGCCAACAACTGGTAGTCGATACAACGCGTTTGGATGAGTGTGATAGGAGAAGGTGGTTGATGAAGCAGTTTCATAACAGGGACGTGGTCAACTCGAATCTTAGGTTTACCTTGTCGCAAACTATTTACCCCGTCCCTTGGCAACAAATACTCTCTTTGACAAGATGGAGACCGTTCGGGTACAGACGTGAGTATCCTAGCTTTCCCTATATTTCACAAGATAGTAGTCCCTTAGATGCTATATATCGCTGGCGTCTCCCCTGTTTGCCCCTCAAGCCGCTCGCCCCTCCCAACAAGAAACCACCGTTTTGCACACAGCTGTTGTATTTTTCTCACCCGTTTCTTCCTGAATCCCCCCCTGTCTCCAGCACGCTCAACTAGAGCTCACGACGACTCTCATTAGGTCATTTTCTTCTCTTGGTTCCGTCTCTACCCCCCCCCAACGTTACGAGTACATACCGCCTCTTTGACAATTTACCATCGATCCCCCTCCCTTGCACGCAGATCGTGAAGAAAGACCGCATGGGCCCATTGATGGAGTACGCCGCCATGTACCGCCAGCTGGGCCGTACAGACGTCTTCAGGGCGGAGTACTGCAACACCAAGGCTGCCGCCGCGCACAAGCGCTGGTTCGCGTCGGCGACAAGTTCCGGTTCGGAGGGGGGCACCACGGGAAGCGGGCTGGCTAACTGGCTCCCGTCGTTCCTCGAGTACTTGCAGGTGATAACATCGTAGCTGTGGCGGTTGTGATGGTGATGGTGATGGTGCTTGTGTGTCTCCATCGGTGATGTATGATTTCGTTGCTGTGGGGGCGTGATGCTGTTTGATGCTGTTTGATGCTGTTTGATGCTGTTTGATGCTGTTTGATGCTGTTTGGTGCTGTTTGATGCTGTTTGGGGCTGTTTGATGCTGTTTGGGGCTGTTCGATGCTGTTTGGTGCTGTTGTTAACGGTGGAGACGGCGTTTTTGATGGGGGTGGGTATATATGTTTATGTGGTCGTTCTTGTGAGTGTTTCAGTCTCCACTGTTCAACGTCGAAGTTTTCCTGACTGAAGTTATGTCGGAAGTTTGGTCTGTTCTGCGTCGTAGGTGCGGTTCCCCAGCCCCTCGCCATTCGACACTCGCCACTCGACTCTGCCGAACCACACACCCTAAGACCCATCAATGAAATTTAGACGTCTCCACCCATCTTCTCAATCTCCACCCACTGCATCGCTAGTGTGCGACCAATCCTTCCCACTCTCTGACCCAGACACACGTACCGTCCCTAGGTGCGCTTTTGGTTTTTGTTGGGCCTTTTCGAGGATTGGGGACGGGGCGGGACTGCGAGGTTTGATTACTTAGTGGTAATCGGAGTTGGACGTGCGAGTAGGCGGGCGGGTGCCATTCGCTTCGCTTCATGTCTTTTCTCCCCCACCCCTCCTTCTCGGTCCCTCAGGGATCGTTGATGGACGAGCGCAAGAAGACTTCGGACTTGTTCGGTGGCGATACCTCTCCCGCGGTGCTCTGCCAGCTCGTCGTGGTGGCCTTCCAGCCCCTCTTGGGATCCTTCCAAGTGAGTGATGCGTCGGTGGGCGTCAGAAGCGCGCACGACGTGACGCGCGTTGAAGGCATGTTCCAGATACTACCCCATCAAAAACCGCGCCCCTTTGATGCTTGCGTCTACGTTCAGCCAACCTTGCTATCACCACTCCCGCTCTCCAGTTGATCATATGCACACACGCCCTCTATGCCCCCCTCCTTCTCTCTAGGAACATCTTCAGAGGCCGCTCCTTGGGCGCGGGCCCAACGGGGAATCGTCCCTTCTGCTCTCCAGTTAATCCTTGAGCGCATGTACCTCCTCGCTCCTTTCCATTGGAACTCCTACTGCCCACTGCCCCCTTGAACGCGTGTACCTGACCTCTCCATGACCGCTGCCCGTCCTCTAGAAACACCTCGAGGCAGCTCCTTGGACCGAAGCGGTAGCCCTCTTGACAGAGGTGCTGCGGTTCGTGAACCAGGCTGTGGACCTGTTGAGGGGTGCGAGCGAGAGAGATTTGTTGGCGGTGTTGCTGTCGAGCACGTCGGGGTTCCGGCTCATTCAGGACAGGTGTGTGAAGGTGCACGCCGTTTGTGGCTACGAGTGTTTTAATCAGTATGTATTCTGGTTGTCATTGTGGTTATTGTTGTTGTTGTTGTTGTTGTTGTTGTTGTCGTTATGGCGATGTTCATCTGTTATTCGATTCGATTCGCCTGTCTCATGCGATGGCGACAGTCGCCAGTACTTTCGTTATCGTTGCCCGTGGCTCTTCATGAGATGTTGGTTATGCTCCCTCCTGGCGTTTCGCTGCCGTCCATCGGAGCATTATTATTTAGGTTTGTGACAGACTAGTTAGCTTGCGGTAGGTGTAGGGTAGGGTGCTTGCTGATATGACCGCCTTGGTTTGCTCCCTTGTTGGAAAATTGGCCGATCTCTAACGTGACGTGTTCGTCTGCTATCACTGTGTAGTGTGGTAGGTGATCATCTATTGATGAATACGTGATCTGCTGTGTCTTATGTATGCATCTCTTTGAATGTTCTGTTGTGCTCTTTGTACGCACATCTTTCTTAGCTTTGGGGCGCACGAGCGGAGCTTCTTGTCTCTCGAGCTGCAGCCTCTACTGGAAACCCTCGGCGGCGTTACGAGTGCCGTGGAGAGGGGAGGGACGGCACCGGCGATGGCCTTCACCCGGAGAATGGAAGAGGTAGACTACAGCATAAGACTAGTGCCCATAAGTATTTTGTCATGCGTCGGTGCATGTTGCCCTCGTTTGGCTTGAGGTTTGCGGCAGTACGTGCACGCGAACCCTGACCCTTACCCCTAACACAAGCCTTCCTGCTACGCACGGTAGGATTCTTGACGAGAAGAGAGAGAAGCGGTCGATACTTGCCTTGCCTGACCACAGTCTTCTTTTCGCTTGCCCTGCAACAATCATGTCGTTGTCTCTTTTTCTCCTTTGTTTATCTTGGTTCATCCGCCCGAGAATCTCCAACCAACATCTCCGATGTGCCTTAGGCTAGTCGTGGCACTGTGTACGGGCATCGTCTGAGCCACGGCAACTATTGAAATTCCACGTGGACAAGCAAGCACGACGGCAGTATTACGGTAACCAAAGCAGGTGCTGCAGATAGCCTAGACGCACACGAGAAGGTACTTTCCACACCAACTGCAACACCTTGCTCGTTTGCCTTTGTTGACTTCGTTTCGCCCCCAGATCTCCGATGTGTCTACCAAGGGCTTTGTGGTCGTGCAGCAGTCGGCGGCGCGGTGCACCGAGCTGACGGGAGGGTACCAAGGCCGAGACTTGCTAAGGGAGGCGGCGGAAGCTCTTTCGGCTTTCGTGAAGGTGTTCTCCTCTCCTCTCCTCTCCCTTCCCCGCTCGACACAGTTGTGTTGGTGTGTCGTTGTTTGACGCCCATGTCGATTGCAGTGTTTGGGAGTTGACCTTTTTGTGTCGAGTCGCCCGCAACAGTGTTTGTTTAATCGGGAAACGGAGATACGTCAGACCTTTTTCTGTGGCGTCATCCCGCACCCCAAGCAAATCTTGGTACGTGTTCCCCCTTGTGATGGGTTGTGGTTTTGTGTGCGCCGTTCTGTAGGCGTGTCGATCTTTTCTACCTCCGCTCCTCTTGCTGTACCCATGGATGATGCTGGGCAACCCCGCTTACGTCCGAGCCTGCGCTCACCTTTGCTGTCCTAGCCTTGACCGGTTCTTTTCGAGACTTGTTGGTTGTTTGGTTTGCGTGCCGCTGGAAGCGTGCCGCAATTACTTTCCGCGTCCTCGCAGTTCACCTGTCATGCGCACGTCTCCCCTCCCGCCTCCCATCCTTCCTATGTACAATATTTGACCACCGTGTCATTCACTCGCCCCCCTTTCCTGTTATCCGGGTCTCTTCCAAGCAAGGCCGTAAGGGATGCGGCTCGACAGTCTCGTTCTTTTGGCAACCAACCGGCGACCGGACGGGTCGAGACGACCAGTTCTGCTTCGCCCGCGGCAGGCCGTTCACAAGGTTTGGTGTTGCTTTGTTCTGTTGAGGGTTCAGTGATTTATGGCGGAATTGCTGTGTCAAGTGGATGTTACTCTGTGGAGGGTTTTTGGGGATTTTTCGTGACTCGTGACCCGGGGAAGACGTTGGGCTTTCCTACGGTGTAGCGAAAGCTGCGTCGTGATGAGGGCGTTCGGAACGGTCATTAAGTACCAACGAGCAATGGGGACGACAGCGACAACAAGCACGACACACAAACGACGACGGCAACAACAATCACAAGTACCGCCGACAGCACTACAACAGCGTGACTCTCCGTGTGTGTTTTACAACAGGTTCGAACAAGCCGTTACCATGTTGCCTGGCACAGAGCGACCGCGTTATCCCGGAGAAACACAGTACCTGCCGTTGGTGGCACTGTAGAACGTACATGTAGAAAGAAAATAGACTTTTGAGTATGCAATACACGTTGACCTGTCGACTGCCCCCCCCTCTCTCTCTCTCTCTCTGTGTTTTTTTCTCCCTCTACCCCTTGCTCCCTCTCGCCCTATTCTGTCTGTTTGCCTTGGTCGCTCTCCTCTCTGTCTCTGGTGTTGGGTGTGGCTGCTGGTGTAGAACAACAAGAGAAGTTCTTGGACGGAGGAGGAGGAAACGGCGATTTCGACTGGCAGTACTTGCAGGGGGGGCTTGTTTTGCTCGGGGCTGCCGGTCGATGCCAACGGTGCTTCGCCGGGGTAGAAAAGGTAGGAAAAGTGGTCAGCAGAGCAAAAAAGGGACAGCAGAGCAGAAAAGGGTACAGCAGACCAGAAGAGTGTACAGCGAAAGCGTACAACACAGCCGGTCTATGTCAAGGTGCTTCGTAGGGGTAGCAGAGGTGAGAAAAGGGTACAGCAGTACAAGTATAGCAGTATAGCAGAAAAGAAAGTTGTACGGCTCAAGGGCACAATAAACGGCTGCATCGAAACGGTACGTGATGTTGGTACAACGGCAGAACGGTACTGCTACAGGATAGAGCAATACCATTCAGCACTAGGGTATCGAATGATACAGCGACAGGGTGCAGCAAAATGGTACGGGAAGATAGTCAGCAACAGAGGTTATATTACGGTATACCAAACGATAGGGTAGCGAAGACAGAACAGTACGATGGAACAGCACAATAGTCTTTATCGGGCTGGGGCTGAAGATTGGCGGCAGAGTGGTACCGTAGAAGGTATGGTCGTCGCATGGCTTGGGTTTAATCGCAGCGGGCGCCGTCAAAACGCTTTCGTTTCTGCTGCTTGGTCGCCTCGAGACTTGTTGGGAAGCTAAAGCCAATGAAATTCACCGTCACTCCCACTCTCACGCAACGTTTTACGTACATGCCATGTTCTCAGCTTCCCCATCATCACCTAAGGATCGCATGTCGTTGTCGACTCTGAAGGCATTTTTTGTTCTCGCGATGATCGATGCTGTATTGCACCTTGTCGTCGGGGACGAGGAGATGGGAGGACATCCATCCCCGGATCTGGTTGAATGATCAACCACCCGTTGCATTTCGCCCGAACCCCACCGGTTCTCCAATAAACCATTGTGAACGCATGCTTTTTCCATCTTTCTTGACGCGGCTAATCAATGTTTACGCGTTCTTTTTCCATCTTTCTTGATGTGGCGACAACGAACGTCATTGGTGACTTACTTCTTCAGGAGTTTGCTTCGGCGCTCCTCCGAGATAGAATCGGCCTCTTCGCCTCTCCCGCTCCCCGCCTCTCCTCCCTAGCACTGCCCGCCAACTCCCCCCTTCCCAACACCAGCGGAGGGAGAGGGGCGGGAACCGTTCTCGAGAACGGCGCTTCCCCATCCCCCGCCGCCGGTGGAGTGGCGGCGGCGGACGGCAGCAGCAGCAGCAGCAGCAGCAGCAGCAGCAGCGAGGAAGGCAGGGTGGCCGTGCTGAGGAGCCTGCTTGCGAGGGTGAGGCTCGATGAGGACAGGACGGCGAGGGCGGAGACGAGGGCGAGCTTGATGGCGCTGGTAGAGCCGTCGGCGGCGGTTCCGGTGTGTGGCTGTGTGGCTGTGGTTGGTTCGCGTGGCGGCGGGGTGTCTATACGTTTGGTGTCGTTTCGTGTGTTTGGCCTGTTTCACGAGTGGTACCGTCGTCTGACGGTCATGTTGTTGTTGTTGTTATTGTTGTTGTTGTTGTTGGTTGCTGCTGCTGTCTTGACGTTGTGCGGTACTTGTGCTTTAGTCCCTTCTGCCCACCTTTGTCGACGTCTGCATCAGCGTTTTTGTTGGCTAGAGACGTGGGTTTACGGATCCCTTCACAGGAGGCAACCGACCGGGCTCTCCTCTCTATCCTCGATCCTAGCCCCCTCGGTGCCGATGCCCTTGAACATCTTAACCATAAGGCAACCATCGTGATTTGGTCATACACTGCAGTGCAAGACGTTCGTTTCTTCCTGTGACGTGCCTCCGCTGTTGTTTGATGGTGCGGCATGGCGACGACGCCTCAACTGATGGCTGCATGCTGCGTGTCCACCCACCCACCCACTCACCCACCTACCTGCATGCCACCTTACCCATTGTTACGTGTTTTTGCTCCACGCCTCTTTATTTGTTCACCGCTGTTTTGTTGCCGCTGTCAACTACCAAATCTGCGGAATCTACAAAATACTGGGGATTCACCAGGGAGACGTGCTGCCGGCGCCTGCGAGAGAAGTACGCGCGCTGGCGGCCGACGCGCGGTCTCTAGTGTTCGACGTCTGTTTTAAGCCAGTCACCGCTAGGCTAGACACGGTGCCGACCTTGGTGTCCTGGCAAGAGGAGCAGGGGGGAGGGGGAGGGGGTGGGTGGGGCGCGGACGAGGGGGATGGCGCTGATGAGTACGATACCGTTCCGCAGGCGTACATTACGCAGGTATGGCTAACGGGAGGCGTAGGGTGTGTGTGTGTGTGTGTGTGTGTGCAGGCGACAAGCGTGGTGTTGAGGATACAACAGGTGGCAATTTGTGTGCGAGGAGGCGTGTTGCATTGGTCCCCGACGCGCAGGTCGGAAGGCGGTATCCGCTAGATTTACAAATACTGAAACCGCCGTTCAAAGCGATGTTCTCTAGAAGAGAGCGGTGGTACGTAGCTCCCAACACTTCAATTTTTCCACGAAGAATTGCAGTTGACCGTCATGTACAATTTCTGCCCGAACCCGACAAGTTAGTGTCTGTCGTGAACACCCACTTGCTCTAAAAATTGGACTTTCGGGAATTTTGCACCGTTGCTCGTTGCTGTCGCGCGCGTGAGTCAGGTCGGGGAGCACCTGCTGAGCTTGCTGCAGAACCTGGAGCCTTTCGCGAACAGCGACGCTTTCCAAGATGCGGTGGAGCCCACGCAGGACCTGCACCTCCTCACAGAAGCAGCTTGGAGGTAATTCTGTAGGCCTGGCCCCTCACCGTGATCCTCCGCTGAATATTGGAGTATTGATGCTGTATCGCTAGTATTGTGTGTACAAGAGTATGTGGAGGGGCGAGAGCCGGCCACTTGGGGGGTGCTTGCACGACATGTTTTTGTTGACTTGGATCAACGCCCGTTCACCCGGTTGGTCGTATCCGACCAGGTTGCTCCTTTCTTGGGGGGGGGGGAAATCACTCTCCTCGTTTCGCGTTCACGTTCCCCTCCCCCTCTCCTTGAAGCATTCCACCCGTTTGTGGGAAGAAGAAGCCACTCTGTATTCCGGAGTACTTGCAACCAGTCCTTTTTTCGTGCATACATATGTTTGGACGCTCTAGCACCACGCCCAGTGGTTGGAAACCGGCGGATATCCCCCAGATGCACAAGCCTTCACGTTTTGGGGGGCAAGGTCACGTGTCCCCGGCTAGACCCGATGGACCATGCCATGGGGCCATGGGGTGCCTCTAAGCGGAAATGTATTTGTAGGCTGAGATTGCTGCCGCCTTCAAGGACTGATGAGTTGGTCCCTATCTTTCATCTGATCTACGCGCAAGACATGTATGGCGGTGATGTCGCCATTCTCTATGCGAACCCTGCTGGCGTCTGCAACATGTTTCGTGTCTGCAACAAGAGTTGCAGCGAGCACCACAATTGCTTGACCTCTTATTCGATAACTCCCGGCGAGATGCGCGAAACGACAATGCCCACCCACCACTTCCACTCCAGGGACTGCGGGCTAGCCTTGGATCTGGGAGAATCCGACCTCATGCTGCTGGAAACCTTGTCTGGCGCGAAAGCATCCACGGAGCCTCCGAAACACCGCTCTGCGTACGGTGACAATGCGGGGGGTGGCAACAATGATGAAGACGAAGAGGAGGAGGAGGAGGAGGAAGAAGAGGGAGAAGCGGCCAAGTTCTGTACGGCGTGGCTGCTGTGCGTCGGGAGCGCTACGGTCGGGTGCTTGTTGGCCAAGGTGAGGTCTTTGCGGTGAAATCCGGCACGTTTCGAGACATTGCGGTTACGGTACAACATGGCCATGGAAGTCACGGTACAGTACACGTGGGGGGTTCTACGGTGGAAACGGTTTTGGTACATACAGATACGATGTGAAATTTTCACTCAAATGGCAATGAAATGTTATTGCATAGCACTCAGGGTCTGCTAGGCTGCTGAAGACCTCCGTCAAGATGTTGACTGATGGGTCAGAGTCGAGGACAGAATGACTAAATAGCGTGAAGTCAAGAAACGAGGCCGTACTGGCTGTAACGACAACACCTGCGCAATTGCGTTTGCTATACTTGGCGAACTTGTGCCGGCCCGCTCACGCAAGAATGCTTCGTGTCCCAGCAGAGTTGCCCGTAATTTGTGAAATATTTCCCCCCTTCTGTTGTCTTTGGAAGTGCAAGCCACGCCTCCCCTCCCCCTCGCAATACTTGTTGCCGTTTCGCTCCCCAAGGTTCTATCACTCCCGCTTCTCAGCGAGAGAGGCACGAAGCACCTGGAGACAGACCTTAAGTACCTATCGAATGTCTTCCACGCCTTGGATCTACCCGCTCCGCCTGTCTTGGAACACGTTAGCCTGCTGGCTGGTCTCAGCAGGGATGAGGCTGCGACCCATCTGGTACAAGAGAGAGTTGCCGGTGAGCAAAATATTGGGTAGCTTTTGTTGTTGATGGAGAAACAAGTGACGCAAACGCACATCCTGGCGTTGTGAAATGGACGGAGGTGGACAAGTTTTTCCTAGGGGAAGGGGTGTTTGGTTGAGTGAGAAATGTACGGAGAGAGATAAGGGAGACAACGAGCAGGAGCGAGAGAAGTCATGACAAGGGTGGCTGAGAAAGTGTTGCTGAAGTACGGAGATGATTGAGGTCTGCATTGTTGTGAGCTGAAAATGGATTTACAACTATGATAGGATCGAGCTTTTTTTGAATCAATATCAGGTGGAACCAATGTTGTGGATGATCCATGATCTCATAAGTACTGTAAAGCAAATGGAGAACAACTGATAAGAGGACAGAGGCTAAAATGTTGCACACATTCGTGGGCCCTCTGTAGGGTGGATGTCTGCAAGGCCGGTTCACACGCCCACTACAAAAGCGAGCACCGCCCGATCTGAGAATGAAAAACCACTTGATAGCATTGTTTTCTGTGCCAAGCAAGATTTCACCCGCCCTATAGAGCTGTTGAGGGCCCTTGGTTGCGTTCGGCGACCAAGCGAGGGATCGATTCCGCGACATGGCCAGCTATCGGGTGTGCGTGGAACGTGGTGTGGATAAGCAGAAGGCGTGTACAGATAGTGTCCCACGCTTTGAGGGGTGGGCACGAACACCGAGCGAGAGAAATGAGGGGTGCTTCGTTTGGGAAGACGATACATGACGACGCCTGACTAAGGAGTTGCACCAGTACGTGGGGTGAGAGAGCGGCCATGATATGCCACGTGCATGACTTGGGGTAGGGATGACGAAAACGCGGAACCCCCAAGCGTACCTCCGTTCCAAGCATGAATCCTTCCTCCGCCGTCCCTGTTCAGCACCCTCCACCGGGTATCCCCCTCTCCTCTGTGTTTGCCATCGGGGTTGGGTTTTTGTCGCTTGGCAACGACGTTGTAAAACAAGCCGATCACTTCGTGGACTCGGCAACCAGGTTATCGCTTTTTTCTTTTTGTCTCTTTTTTTTTCGTTGCGGTGATCATAGTGGCGGTCGGGTAGATAATGTTGTGCGGGGTCGAGAACCCCTACTCCGCGCAAAGGGGATGATCGCACCACGTTGTGTTAAAATGGTCAAGCACCCTCGATCGAGGCAGTTTCACAGTGCTTATTACTGTCTCTGGAAGTGAAAGCACCACAAAAACCAAGTCATTCGCAGCTGTCATCATTACGCAAGGAAGCTTGAGTACCTCCCCCCCCCCCCCCCCCCCCCCCCCCCCCCCCCCCCCCCCCCCCCCCCCCCCCCCCCCCCCCCCCCCCCCCCCCCCCNCCGCGGCATCCCCTGCTTGTGTGTGACGTTACAGGCCACGGGGCCGCTGGAATTGTCCTGACGAAAATGGAGCGACGACTAGCGGAAGCAAGAGGCATCGCCCATCCTTGATGCTTCGAATTGCGGTGGTGTTGAGCTCATGAGGGCAACTTTGATTTGTCGTCCTATTCCTCCTGATGAGGGTGGAGAATTCTCAAAGGCCGCTTCGAATGTGTTCGGGGGGCATGCTTGTTTTCGACATTTGAGTTGATGGCTTCGTCTATGAGGCCCACGGCCACTTGTGCTCGTGTGCGTACAGCGCGTCTGCAAGCGGGGGTTGGTGAAGTTTGATGGTGCTCGTAGATTGAACATCTCTCTCCTCCCTTACTGTACAGAGTGAGAAATGCGTCTATCTTCATTCTGTTACAATATGCCTGGATGGTTCCCTCCCCCCTCCCGGTGTTCAATAGTTGTGAAGGTTGGCACCGCATCGACGGGGAGCAGAACCCCCACATATTCACCAGCTGAGAACTTTTTCGGTTTGTGAAAATGGACGAAATGCTGTAAGAACATTAGAGGTCCCTGTTAAGTGCGGGGGTGTGCGCAAAAATTTCACCGGCACTAGTCTATACCCGGCACCGGCACTATTTGTCAGAGTGCCTGAATAGTGCCAAAGGGGCTCTATTCAGGGTCCGAAAATCCCTCCATAGTGCCAGACCGGCACTTTTGACGAACATGCTGCACCTTGGTGCTGTACCCGCCTCAGCGCACGTACTGCACACTTGCACAACCTGAAGTAAACCCTTCACATGAATATCGCAAAGAATGCACCTCATAGATGCCCAATATTTTGTTGGCAAGAATGCCGTGGCACTGACTTTAAACGGATCAAATCATTTCGCGCAACCTCAACATCACTCCTCGACAGCGAAAGCAAACCACTGATCATGAAGCCCACGGGTTTTTGGCGGTAAAACTGTTGCGAAGCTCCTGCTGGCACAACCTATTGGTGAAGGAGGAAGCTAAATCTGTCTCCTCCTGACCCTCCTTCGATGTAGCCAGAATAAAGCAAAAAAAAAAGAACGACCGTAAGAACAGGACCGTGTTCGTTCATAATAGATGGCAAGAAATCAAACAGCCGCTGCAGCTGTAACCCCCGCCCTCACTACGTCGCGAAAAATTCCCGCATGTATGCCTGGCGAACCCGCTTTGCGGTATGCGCTGCGATCATCGCCATCCTCGCTTTCGACAGGTGGTGCACGGTGTCTCCGTTGCCACTCTCCTCCGCCTCTAGGTACCCGAAGTGAGACGACAGTTCCCCGTAACACGGTGGGGCACGCCGCCCGCGGCCCGCGTTTTCATCGTCGCTACCCCCTTCCTCTTCGTCGTCCTCGTCTTCGTCCTCCTCCTCTGACCCGGGAGACACGTGCGACTCAGCTAGCTGTGCCGTCATGTCGTCCACCGCGTCCTGCCGAAAAGCTTTTCATCGTCGTCCTCAATAGTAGCCCAAGCCTGAAGCGTGTTCACCACGGCAGCCTTTCCGGGTTCAATGTTACGTTCCGCCAACAGGTCACACAGCTCCTCGCCTTGAATGCTGGATCCCTGCTGCTGCGCCTCTAGCATGCTCGTGCTCAATGTGTTTAGTCTAGACTCCTCGTGAGAGCCTTCATCTCAGGCTCGGCGATCCGGTCTCGGGCCTTTCCGTGTTGCTCGGGTTGTTCAGCTGTCATCTCCGCCAGAAGCGTGTAGGCTTTGAAGAGCACCTGGTTCCAGGTAGCGCACAACATGGAACAGCAGTCCGATCGTGAGTTGACCAATTGATGTTAGACGAGACCAGCATTTGACAACAAATCATCGGCAAGCGAGAAAGCGTCCTTTTGTAGCGGAGCAACAACGACGGGGGGTGCTGGAATACCTAGCCGAAAACGTAACATCTAGACTATCCGTGCAACCTCGTTACGTACCACCAAGCTTGTGCACACTGCATGATTTCACAAAGCGACAGCACATGTTCAAGCCTGACCTGGCGATGTCCCGTGCGGCGACGCTGGCCCAGGCTTTCTGGAGAAGTTCGGCGGCGCCCTGATGCCAGCCCCGCTGTCCCGTGCTTCATCTTACGGGCTTTGGCCTGGGTACGAAGGGTCTCAGCCACCAACATGGTTCATGTCTTCACATCGAACAGCTCTTTCCTGTAGGTGACCTTGGTCTTGGCGATGATCCCCTGGTCCATGGGCTGGTGTATGCTGGTGCAGTTTGGAGGGTAAACCTTGACGGTAACTTGTCCGCGTTCATCCGCTAGATCAGCGTGAGATCAGCGTGAGACGAGCAGCCGTCCATCAGCAGCAGCACAGGTAGGTTCGTTGGGGAAGCGCCGAACGAACGGGAGGAAGACCTCACGCCACCACTTGAGGAACGTAGCGGTATCAGACCACGCGTTAGCTTGCGAGAAGTACTTGAGAGGGCAAGTCACGCCCGTCAGGCAACGGGGTTCCTTTGCCTTCCCGATGATGGCCATGTCAACCTTTGCAATACCATCTGCATTGCAGCACATGATGGCAGACAAGCGATCCTTGGGTACGTGCGCCTAGGCATAAGCTTCCATTGGATGCCTGTCTCGTCGACGTTGAAGATGAGCGTAGCTGGGTACTGTGTTTGAGAACGTACCTGTACAAGTAAGAGGTCAAACAGGGATACACAAACCAGGAATACGGGAAAAAGTTGGAAATGCTTTGCGTCTTTTTGGACGTGCCCCACCCCTACCTCGCCAGCAAGCGCCATGGAAGCATGCGCATTATCTATTTTATGCATTATTGACCATGGCCTCAGCATGCGTGTGTTTTCACCCGCCAGATCGCCTTCATGGGGTGAGTGGGAGCGAAAACACTTCAATATGAGGTCAAGTTCGACCAACAATATGGCCAAAAGTATTAAAGCATATTGATATCAAGATGTATGTGTGCCATTTCGTCTTCTGCAATGTGAATAGGTCTACTTAAGGTCCACTTCCTTTCCGATATCCATTTCCCCATCGGATAATTTCAGGACCCTCACAACATCTTGCCAAGAAACACGCTGTCATTTCGTTGTCAACGCTCGACCTCCACCTGGGGGCTCGACGGAAGAAGGCAAAGGATTGCGTCCGCGTGGTGGACAAGAAACATCTCAGCTGAGGTATTCCGCGATGCACACATACGGCGCCCTCTTTCCTCAAGAATCCCTGCTGGGTTTTCTTCGTGGATTGTGTTGCTTTCCCCAACAGGTAGTTCTCTACCTCTACCCGATCCAGCGATCAACAATGCCAATGGCCCAATAACCGACCGGTGCCACAAACCAATGTCCGAGGTTCTTCAGAAACGTTCTGGGCGCCTTTGGGCAGGAAGTGGAAAGAATACCAAGAGTAGCAAACCACGCAGTGGCAGCTTTGTCACGGAAAGGGAAAACCGCCAAAAGAGGAGCAGCACGACGGTTGAGCCTGGGTTCGAGCTTAATCGCTGCCGAACTACGTAAGGCATTGCACACGCTCCTCAATTATTCAAGACGCAACCCAAATACCAATTTCCGCCACCCTGTGAACGAACAACACGGCCATGCAATTTCGTTTGATTACCAAAACGTACACAGTCTTGGTGGTTGCGCTCCGACATTGTAGGCAAGCTCAATCGTCTGACGAAGCTGTGCTCACCAGCAACCACCGCGACAAAAAAACAAAAACAAAATATCGTCGATAGTCTTCTCTTCAAGGCGAAACACCAAATCGCGCTATTAGAAGTACTCCGGGCAGCCTTTTTCGGAGGATGAAATCATTTCTTGACGTATCCCAGGAGCAACCTCATCCGCCAGGTCCTCTTGGCTGATCGCTCTTCTCCTCGCGGATGAGGGTTCAATATCGCTTGCTCTTCATTTGCCGCTACCATGCCGTCAATCCAGCCTCCAGGCAGGATTAAGCCGACGCATGATGCCCAGCGGTAGTGCCAGTGAAGAGGGTCCTCGATGGCGTCTTCGCACCAATACAATTCGGTCCTGTCGGACAGTAGCCCTTCGAACATGATGTGGCGTAGAGTAGTGAAGTGGCAAAGTTGCGGGAGAATCTCCAATAGACTACTGTCTCGTCCAATGAAGGGTACAGCTCAAGATAGTTCTCCGGTAAGTTGCTGTGTACGTGGTAGAAGTAGGTGCTGACAGCACAGCACGAGGGTCCCTGATGGGTACAAATTTGTAGGCCATTGTCCGAGAGTGTTCGAACAACAAACGGGCGTACGGGTGCAGAATCACTCCGAGGACGGGGGGGGGAGGGGCATGCGGAGTTGCGAGACAATGCTGAGACAAATGCAGAAGATATACAAGGCTCACTTTGGTGTGTGCCTAGCTAAAGGTTCGAAACGTAAATCACGGTGGCGGTATCGTACCACAACGACAAACACCGTGCAGGGCGTTTCTTTTGCAAGGTCCACCAAGGAGATCTAGCGTCTGCGAAAGAATGCGGACAAAAACAACCAAATCGTGCGTACACGCGCACACGCCTTTCGTGTGGAGGGACGCCTCTCGTCTTCAGAAAATCGGAGAAATGAAATAAACCTACCGGTACAGTACATGTGTACTGTAGACAATGTTTTTGCCACAGCAGAAAAGTACAACGAACCCGTAACCAAGCCTAGCATATCAACCGCTTGGCTGGTCCACAAAACGCACAGTTGTGACGGAAACCCTCTATGCAGACTGGCCAGGAGCAAAACAGGCGAGAAAACATACGGCGGGGACACCTGTATTAGTTTGAAGCCCTTCTTCAAGGGGAGAATGACGCCGTTCACAGAAGGACGGGCAAAAAGCACCCCCAAATTGGATACAGGTGTATTCACTCCTTGGTTGTGAGTATTGCGCATGGCTGGCAAGGATGAACCATTGTATGGACCATCAACGACAAACGTTTTCAAAGTTCGTGGTTATTGGATATTCGGCGACAGCGTGGGGCGCTTTGGTTTGGACGACAAACAACAGAACCGCAGAATTTATTTCTAAACGGCTAGACTATTGGTTCGATGGCATGGGGAACACCCGGATGGTGTGGTCTCGGTGTCGTTGCCTGAAGTTATCGTGCGCCACTGTTGGCATATATCGTCCTGCTTGTTGCTAACCGACCAAATCGACTTGGGAGGACATAGGTCAAAGACGCTCTAAGGTGCTGCCGTAATTGGTTGTGAATTCACGTGAGAATTGATTCAATATCTGCAAGGTGCTGTTCTAGAATCGCAGCACACGGCACCATTATTGAGAATCATGACCTCCACGCACGTTCGCACAAACTTCGAAGACCGGCACACGTGGGAAGCACTACCCCACCAGCTGCACGAATGAAAGTCCAAATCACAAACACCTACCGCAACAACGGATTCTCCGACAAAATTTTGTGCAGGGAGAATGTGTTAGCACGCTATTTCCAAGGAACACGTAAGTTGCACGGAGCGCTGATCAGACCGATTCTAGAAATCGGTCAGCAAGCGTTGGAAGAATTCAGATAGATGGACTGCCGTAGATTTAGGATAGGTTTGTACCTGTTGTCTCGCATGGTGCTTCTTGGAGGCAGGGCCAAATATTTGATTCATTTCCCACCGGTTTGCCGCCAATGCTCCAGCAACCGTCGCCTTCATGTGCAAACCCATAGCCATGGCTCCAGGGGCAAGAATCGCCGACAGGTAAGCTGTGCTTGTCGACGCATGAACCCGAGATCTCCACCCTGCGCAACATGGATGGGCATTTGGTCAGGCAGGTGAGGTGCCAGATAATGTCGACCCCGACAGGGACGACGGAGGTCAGCCTCAACTTCGCGCGTGTTCGTCCTGGTTTACAGTTGCCGTGAGCATCTACACGACTTTCCGTCAACGCGTCAGCGTCCTCCACGAGCATTGAAACGTGAGTGGCATGGTGTGGAAGGACTGCAGGGAGAAAGAGGCGCTACATTGTATCCATTGGGATATTCAGGTACGTCCGTCAGCCCAAGGACTGGTCCTGATGTGGCTGTCCTATGGGGCACCGTCCAACGTGTCCCATGGGACGCCCCACATGTCGCATGGTACCCGTAATATTCATTCGACGGCTTCAAGGACGCGTGCTCCGGTCGAGGGCACTTCTCTGCGAACCGTTGGGCAATGAACCTCGCTTCGTATACGAAAATACATCGACGACAATCCCCCCCCGCGTCAAGTGCGTTGTCGATTCATTCTGCCCGCCGTGGGGCCAAACCCGTCACTTCAGTCTTTGACACGTGTCATCACAACATGCCCGACTTTTTGTCGGCTGAGATTCACCCAACAAACCGCCAGGAATCCTGCAATTTCTGCAAACACATCTTCATGCAGCGAGTTGCAATAGAATACAAACACAAACATATGTCGGGAGAATGATCCAGACGGATTTCAACCACAGAGGACCCGAACTTCAAAGGGCATTCGGACACATTTCCTAAAAATAAATTGCTTCATGCATATCGAGGGCCGTCCCGATATACACAACCCGCTGCTTGCTGCTGAAACGCATCAATTGAATGAGTTGGTCTGGCGTGGGGATACACTGTAGGAGATGAGATCATCTGCGATGCCATGCATGGTGACTTGTGTGGATGACTTCAAGAAATAGCATCGCCAGGGAACACATTGGGCTGTCTATCAAAGTGCAGGCAGGTCTGCACGGCTCTCCTGCTGTCTGCACACTGCAGCAAACTGCTTGTAAATCGATATCGTGGTCGTCGGGGTATATTTCAACAGCTCCGTGAGAAACAAGGCCTGCAACGTTTTTCCGAGGTATTGCCGGGTAAAATTGCTGGCGGAAATCAGCTGATTTCTCGACGGGCTGAGCACCGTATGAGCGGGAAGCATTCGTGACGGGTTGCTCCATCCAAGTGCATCGGGCACAAATACGTTACTTAAGTAGTTACTAGCCCGGTGCTTTGTTGGTGAAAACAGACCAAGTCCTGACCTCGAAGATCAGCAAGAAAAAAATTCGGTGACTCAATTTGAGTGACTCATGCTGACTCACTGACTCACTCACTCGCTCAACATTTGAGCATACCTGGGAAGATCCAAACGTTTAAGTCGATGCTCGTATGTGACTGATGCTAGGCTATTTGAGCATCTAGTCTAGTTTCCCGAACAAAAGGCCACCCTCTCACGTGTGTGTCAGGATCGACGGGCCCTGTAGTGCTGACCCTCGACAATACATCGAAATTTACATTACACATACCGACTTGCTCACCTTTCTATCCCTTTGCATGCGCAGGAATCATCACTTGACGCCAAGCCCGGCTCAATGACCATCATCAAGTGCCTCCCTTCCTCGCCGATGGCCTCCGTTCGGCAGAACTCTAAGCCGCACATGCCTCGCAGATGTTCGCATGTTTACTCCAGGACGCCTACCGCCCAAATTACATGAAAGAGATACCACTCTTTGGCTCGCTAGGACGGCGAGAGAGAGAGGAGCACGTATAGAGACAGGGAGCCACACAGGAAGTAAACGCAGAAAAAGCCGCAGCGCCAGAAGTAAAGTGTACAAGGGTAAGATCGGAATGATTCAACACATTTATTTCTGCACTCCGTGCTCACCTCCGCGGAAATCTTCATTGGAGATCGAAGAGGGTTTCGCCCATCGCAGAATATCCCATGCAGCATCGTTGACAAAGGAATTGGAATCAGCAGTTTTTCCAGAGACGGCGGAATAATGCGCAAACGTAGCATGAGGCAGATCCGTACTTCTTAAGTTATCCTTTCGACTTTCCGAGCTGTTGTAGACTACAGTACTCCATACTGACTCTGGGCTGTGACTATTATCGGATGTACTTCAAAACCGGAAAGCGCGGAAGAGATGTGCAGGGTGAACATGGCAACGCACACCAAACACCAGACACAAACATACCCCCAGACAGAGTTGAAGTATGTATGGAATTTTGTAGGAGCTTGCCGTCTGGTGCGTCTTGGAGCTTTGAAAACAGCTCTTGGCAGTGGTGTGTGTTGGGACGAGGCTCCAACGACAAGTCAAGCTCGCCGACAACGATTGCGTCTAGCAAGGCCAGGGCCAAGAGTAGACAACGTGCCGGCTTGAACGAACATCACAGGTGGCCACTGGTACACGTTGTCAGGGTAGGTTGCACAAGGTGCACCTACCTGTGTTGCATCCCAATCGCACAACGTACCTACTTCGTGCAACCCAACGGGCACAAGGTGCCGAGATCGTGTAGCCCTACGGGCACAAGGTGTTGACTTTGTGCAACCTTTCGGGCACAAGGTGCTGAGTTCTTGCAAACCTACGGGCACAAGGTGTTGACTTTGTGCAGCCTTGACGGCGCAAGGTGTTGTTTTTGTGCAAACTTGAAGGCAAAAGGTGTGCAATGTGTGCAACCGTTGTTCCGGTATGGCGTCGCCACAAGTACTTCTCTACTTTTCGTACATGTCTCGTATTTTCGTGTCCTTCTTGCTACTTGATTATGCACACGCCAGGGCGACCCGCTCAAACAAAAACAGCAATATTTGAAGCAGCGACCAAAGACAAACGAATTCCGAATACCGATGCATCCCGAACGACTAAATAAAACGCTACATAGCAGAGAAGCAGTCAATGTACAACGGTACCTCGATCTGATACACAAGAGAAGAAACCGCAGCACGGCAGCAGCGTGTATATCGCCGGTGGTCCGTTGGGTGTGGGTACGGATGTCTCTGTTTTCTGTGTGCTCTCTGCGGATGTTTCATCGCAGCTTTCACGCACACCATTATTCAATCTTCCTCGGGTGCACACCCCTCGAATTTTCTGAACGAAAGTAACCAAGATGATCGAAGTGTGTCCTCGCTTCGTTGATACAGTTGCATTGTTGCACTTCCTTCGTGTAGGATGAATGACAGGATGATGACAGTACTGCACCAACGCACTTCGACTCTACGTTGTCGCTCATTGTAAGATACCCTTCGCCTCTTCGCAAAAAGAGAAAGTAATGAGTGAACTGCCAGGAGAATGCGACAGCCAAAAAATAGAACCTCCCGTACTTTGAGAATCGGATGAACTTCGGCAAATTCTGTAGTCTTCCTTCGACTCACAATAAGGGATTGAACTGCACCACAATTTTGGCATCGGCTTCGTATCATTACGCCTACACTGTACGTGGATTGGCGGTCTGATTTACGTCATCTCTCTGTCCCACGTTCTCCCTATCTGCCCGGTGATTTATGTGCTCCCCAATGAATGAATGGGTAAATGGCTGCGTGAGAGTGACTGAGTGAGTGACTGAGTAAAAAATTGGGTGAGTGACCGAGTGAGTCACTCTGTAAGCGAGAGAGTGACTGAGGGAGTGAGTCTATGACTCAGTGACTTAAGTGACTGACTAACTGACTAATGGAAGACTGAGTGAAAGAGTGAGTGAGTGGGTGAGTGAGGGAGTGAGGGAGTGAGGGAGTGAGTGAGTGAGTAACTGAATGAGATTCTTAGTGACTAAGAGACTATTCGACTGACTGAATGACTGAATGACCACACGATTGAGCGACTCAGGGACTGAGTGACTTAGTGAGTGACTGACTGGTGACAGACTCAGTATATGGGTGACTGGCTGCCTGAGTGAATTACTTTGTGAGCGAATGAGTGAGTGAATGAGTGACTACCTGAGTTCGTGAATGAATGGGGCCAAGTACAGAAGGAACATATGTAATAGACGGCGGAGAGGATAAGCTATGAACCGGCCGCAGAATTGCATCGATGAGCGGCACCGGATCGACGTCTACGTTCGGTTCGTCGAGTGGCAGTCGGGTTTCTGATGGCAACAACGCACGAGCAAGGTGATGCACCGTAGCACGGACGGCCCAATTCAAAGGAAAGCGTAATCCAACAGCGCCCTTCACGTCCTAACATTGTTTTTTTCCTGTGAGTATTCCTATGCGATCTTGACTTGGACGCGTAAGTACAGCAGTGGTCTCGGGCTCGCTCAACACACAGCAGAGCCGACCCCCACGGGGGGTCTTCTATTTTTTTTTTGCCTCCCGACAATTGCAGTCAACGCCAATGATATGGGGATGGAGTGTAGACGCATCGTAGAACGCGTTTTCGTTTGAAGTTGACGTCTTGTTTGAGAGTAGATGTGACAGATTTGCGTAGAATAGGGTAGGTAAGATGTTATCATGAACGGAGATGAAAGGGCTTTTCCAACACGGAAATGTAGCATGGATCAAAAGCATTTGTTGGATTTCAGCTTTTACAAGGGACATCAACGCAGTAGTATTTTAGCAAGCTTACG